AAACGGGCGAGTCGCCCTGAGCCGAGATCAAAATTTATATACAAAAGTAAGGAGGGAGACAAGACAAAGAAAACTGCAAATCCATGTCCATCAACATCAACTCCCTCTTCCTCTCTCTCTCTCTCCGATGCGGACAGTCCGTCGTCACGCACCAACCCACAAAGTCGTCACCCCGCTTAGTCCTCTTGCGCCCGTCAGGTTCGCCCGCGCGCTACAGTCCGTCGTAGCCCCACGTGTCAACCCCGCGCATTCGGCACCAGCTCGTCGGGTCGCCCGACTCCCACTTCACTCACCTCTAACTTCGCTCGTGAGCCGACCCTCGCTGATCGCGCTACCCCGAGCTTCCAACAACTGGTTAAGAGAACTATCTAATCGCGCAGCCGAAATTTATAGCGTGCATGCATGCGCGGAGAACACGGAATTGTAAAGACTTAGAAAGGAGATTAGGAGAGGGAGCGCCTACGTTCTGCATAGCCAGACCGCGGCGTGGGGGACGTGGCCACTCTCCACGCATCGATCCGAGCATGCAGGCCGCGGGCTAACTAGGCACAACAAAAGCGAAAGAGAGAGCGGAAAAGACAAAGCTCAAGAAGAAAGATACAGTTACAATGGCGCCCGCCTAAAAATTATAGTTGCACACGAGATTAAGGGCGCCGACTAATAAGAGCTCCGCTGCAGCCGCAAAAAGAAGCGCGCAAGAAATACAACGCGCGGCAAAAGAAATCCCGAATTCCTAAATTCCTAAATTCCTAAACTTATTGCAAAACGAACTTTACTAAAACGCAAATTCCGAAAAGAAAGTCCGAAATTCCGAGAGCCGTCAAGGCTCGACAAGATTCAAAGAGAAAATTCAAAAAGAACGAAGCAAAATTCCCACGCGACCTCCACGCCTAAAACCTGACAGGAGGACAAGAAAGAAGCGACGTCAAACATTATTATTCGCACCTTTGTTGGTGCGACAGCCACTCAACCGGCCATCTCGGGACTTGCCCGACCCTGAACCCAGCCATCCGAAAAGACGCGACGCAAAAAGGCGGAGAAGCGAGGACACTGATGCAATTTCCCTTTGATCCCGATCTCCTGTAATTGGCCCAACCTTCCCATCTTAGGACCCCTCATTGCCATCGCGCATAAAATCGCGCGGAACAAAAATGGGTTCGTCACATATGTGACGCCCAGGGGGTTCCAAGTTTAAGCAAGCTCCCCCTTGCTTGAATCATGACACGTGTCGATCTCTCTAATCGATCGACACGCGGAGCCTTCCTTGTTGCCACTTATCGTTTGATAAGAGTGTGGACATCATCCAGGGTGGCACACGTTGCTCTATCCTACAATTTCCTCAGGGTGGGCTCTCTTCAGTCCAAGGAGGGGATCGTGCGTGCCATCGTCGTGGCACGTGCCAATCAGTCGTGCATCAATGACCGAAGGGAAGGGGAAAGGGAAGACGATACATGGGGGCATGGCGAGGGGGAGGGTTAGTCAGGAGTGGGGGTAGAAAGAGTTCTGATCCCGCGACTGTCTCCGGAAGCTCCTGATATCAGATGATCCGATGGAAGTGAGGGAATCGATTACCACTATGCGGAAGGGATGAGAGATAGTCGGGGTAGAGGGTGGTGAAGGTTCGGAAGAGCGCAGTGCGGAAGTGATCGTGGTTTTCGCATGCGGGGATAGTCCCCGTGATCATGCAGTAAACCTCGATGATGTTGTGGCCTCGCCACGCGGCACTGAAGAGAAGGGCGTGGAGATAGAAGACAGGGGTGGCACACCGGGTAGAGGGGTGGGGATGAACCGTGACAGCAAGACGGGTGGCGTAGAAAAAGCGGAAGGTGTCGATTGGGAAGGGATTGCAGGGGAAAGTGGTGCGGGTGGTGATCTGGGGGAGGGTGAGGTGATCAAGGGGACGACGGGATAAGGACCGGGGACGAAGCCCGATGCCCCGCATCGGTACGAGCTCGAACTGGTGGACGGGCGGAGGTGGAGGGGGAGAGGGATCGGCTTCGTCGCCGTCGGGCCGGTGCGCTCGAAGTCTCGGCAGCAAGGTCCCCATCGTCGTTCTTGGGTGGCTCGGGATCCTTGGCTGGGTCGTTCGGGATCGGCAGCTCCACTCCACTTGCGAACTCCAACGGCTGCTTTCCAGCTGCGATCTCCTCTCTCCTTCGTGCCGCCTCGAAATCCTCCTCGTGAGGCTCTGCACGTTCCGCCTTTTCACTGAAAGTCTCCCACTCAGATCCCTCCTCCTCCTCCAACTGACCCTCTTCTTCTTCTTCTTCCTCTTCTTCCTCTTCTTCTTCTTCTTCCTCTTCTTCCTCACCTCCCGACTCTTCCTCGCTGTATTCGCTGTAGCTCCCTCCTTCTTTTGAGGTTTCCTCTTCTTCCTCCTCGTCGCCATCCTCTACGCCCTCTTCTTCTTCCTCCTCTAGCGTTAGCCCTTCGTCTTCGGAGGCCGTTCGAGGCTGAAAGAAGGCGAGGTTGATTATCCTCCGCGGGTTCAGATAGTCGTGTTGCGATGGCGGGTTGCTGTTACCTCCCAGCTCCTCGAGGCAAGCCGACCAATGTAGGTAGGGTGTTAGAGTTCGTGAAAGGACGTGCGGGACCGGGTTCTCATCGCACTGCGAAACGATATCGAGAGGGAGATCGTCGACCAGCTGCACGAGGGGAATCGTGAGCTCCTGTACGATCTGCTGTCGATTGTCGGGTCGCACCGATCCGAATAGAAATCCGAGGTCTCCCTCCACCTCCGTCCTCCAAAGTTGTATGATCAACAGCTCCACGTATGCGATCCAGACGCGGTGCTCTATGTCCCTCGTCCACGTCAGCTGCACGACACACCGAAAGATCGACGAAGTGCTCGCGCCACAATTCCCACTATCTTCGATCGAGGAGGGGAACTGCGAGTGGTTCCAGACGAAAGGAGAGACAGGGGCAAAGGTCAGACTGCCAGAAGGTAGGGAAGAGAGATGGGAGATTGAAGGTAGAGAGTTGGGAGCGGTTCATTGAGGACGCTGCAAGGGAACGAGCTCCGGAAGCACCACCGCCGGCTCGTGCCGATTCGTGAGGTGTTCCCCAATGGACCGCCAGGATGTGATCTACGATATCGGGCCAGGGCCTCGGATCCCGTGCCGCGATGTTTCATTGCGACATGTGGGGTGCAGTATTTCAAATGGCGACGCCATGTACGACCAGATTCCTTAAAACTTCCCCTCTGAATTCTACCCCATTGTCGGTCAGGATTTCCTCTGTGTCTTGGTGCATCCCTAAAAATCGGTTGACGTATCGCGCAATTTCAGCCGCCTGTCGTGCACGGCACAGATATGCCTCAATCCATTTCGAAAAGTGGTCTACGAATACCAATAGGATTGAATACTCGCAGCTATTAATAGGTCCAGGGGGCACCACAATATCGGTGGTATCCATGCTAAACCTCTGAAACGGCCGTTCAACTATCGTCGGTACTATCGATCTTGGCGGTTGGATTGGCGCCTTATCAGCATCGCAGACCTGGCAGTTCGTGACGATGAACTTCACATCATCGCGAATATTGGACCAATACCACTCATTTTTGTCGATTGCCGCTTCCGTGATTCGGACGACAAAATGGGCTGCAGTTTCCTCATGCGTCGTCTTAACCCAGTCATACCTCATGAACAGTTGCGGCACTACCAACCAAATCCCACTACCATCCGTCTTTCGTTTCTCCAACCGGCCCTCGTTCCAGCGATAGTCCCGAGCCCTTTCATTGGCCCTCCTTCGGATTTCCTTGGTGAAGTCCTGGAGGGGGTTTCCCACCAAGGTGGCAATTAGAGCGATGTTCGTCCATACCTCGGCCCTTCTAAACTTCCGGGTCTTTTCCAACCCTTCTGATGTGGCATCAAGGAATCGAGCCTCAGTCGGGATCTTATCAGTCCGACACAAGGGACACAACCGAGGCTTATTGCCATTTCTGTACTGGATGCACGAGGCATGGGCTCATGCGACACATTGCCGACAATCTATCCACTCCGCATATCCCTCCCCACTAGGACGCATAAGGACCAAGTAGACGCGCCAAATTGCTTCGCAAAAATAACAAAATTTGTCGGGTAGGGAGAGAAAAGATGAAGATGAGAGGGGAGAGAGAGGAGTTGTAAGATTACCTCCGTCACCCATTGCCAATCGCCGGCTTCTTGCCTCGTGGAAGGACTGCCACTTGCCCGTACTTGGGTCCGTTCGCTGACTCCGGTCCCTTCCACGGAATGATTTCTTCACCCTTAGGTACCTTAGCGGAGCGATGCAGTCGTGTCAACCCGTCCGCGTTGCCGTGCCTCTCTGTCTTTCGATGGATGATGTCGAAGTCGTATTCCTGTAGGCGCACCGCCCACCGTCCAATCATACCCGTGTAATTAGTGAGCTTCTTGAGAGCCAGTAGTGGCTCGTGATCGGTTACAAGGAGGAACTTTTGTCCGTATAAGTACGGATGGAAGTGCTGAATCCCCCAGACCACTGCGTAGCATTCGCCCTGTGGGGCCCAATCGTTCCTCCGCTTGTCTGGCACCGTTTGAGAAGCGTACTCCATGACGTGCTCTCGGCCGTCGTTACCCTTTTGCGCGAGAATAGAGGAGGTCGCCTCTAGCTGCCAGTCCATGATAAGAATGAACTGCTTCGTAGGGTCCGGTCGGATCAAAATAGGTGTCGTCGCCAGAGCGCCTTTAAGGGTGGCGAAGGCCTGTTCGCACTTTGCATCCCAAGTGAGGTGCTAGTCCTTTCGTAGCAGATTCGTCAGAGGTCGCGCAATCGCAGCGAAGCCTTTGATAAAACGACGGTAGTATGATACTAGTCCCAAGAAAGCTCGAACCTGCGTCACTGACGTGGGGACAGGAGCATCTTTCACCGCCTCGACTTTCCTTGAATCTGGTCGCAGTCCTCATCGTGTTACCATGTAACCTAAGAATGAGATTTCCGAGAGGAAAAACTCGCTCTTCTCGAGCGCAATCTTGAACCCAGCACCTCTCAGAGCTTCCCGTGTCCACTCGATGTGCTATGCATGCCCGTGATAGGTCTTCGAGTAGACGAGGATATCGTCCATGTACACAATGACGCAGAAATTAATCATCCCCTGAGTGAGCCGTGTCTTGTTGACGAAGTTCTGGAATGTCACATTCATAGCCCGCTGAAACGTGGCAAGCGCGTTGCAAATCCCCATCGGACATCGAACCCACTGCCACGTGCCTTCAAACAATACAAAGGCCGTTTTTGGGCGATCTTCTTCCTTTAACCAGAATGTGATGGAAGCCGTGACGAATATCAAATTTACTAAAATAATTAGCACATCCAATCGCATCCAGTAGATCATCAATCTTGGGAAGGGGTTACACATCTTTAATCGTGATGTCATTCAGCTTGCGATAATCAATGCATATGCAAATCGACGCGTTCTTTTTTGGCACTAATACTACCAGGAACGGCCATGGCCCGGTGCCGGGTTCGATCCAACCATTGGCTTCGAATTCTCGAATCCGCTCAAGGGCCGTTTTTCGTTCTACCAGGGAGTATATGTAGGGCTTACAGTGGATCGGGGGATGATTTCCGGTTTGAATCTCGTGCTGTATGACAAAAGACAGTCCAATGTCTGTGTCCGTCATACTAATCACTCCTTTGTATTCTTTTAGAATTTCCGCGATTAGATGATGGATCTCATCAGGTACGTATTGGGGCACGTGCAACTCGTACATTTGATCCCACATTCGCACATCGATCTGTTTCGTACTTACCCGCTTAGTGTTTTCAGGCGGGGGCGCGGAGATAAACGAATTATCCGATCGCCAGGAGAATACTGTAGCCATCATTTGTGCGTCTTGCTCTCGAATGGCCACGTGTTCCTCTGGCGTTATTCCGTCTCGAATGTCCTGCCATGGCACAGGTTTTGTTGCGTTTTGATTCCGAGCCCTGTTTCGAGGCGCTCAGGGGGTTCCAAAGAATTGGTCTCCGCCCCTTAGCGTAATAATCGTATCTCTTTTGCAGGTGTCAAAAGAGATCACGGGAGATTCGTGATGTCACAAAAGTGTCTTTTGTCGTTATATCGCGCAAGCAAAGGGGAGATACCTTCATACAGGGTTCGAGGGGGCTCCAAAGATTCGACCATCCTCGAAATCTGCACGAGGGGTTCGCCCATAATCATGGCTTGCGTTCTTTGTAGATCCTAATCAGTCAGGTTCAGTGCTCTCGTATTTGTTCGTTGCACAGGGAAATAGATATGTTGTTGCGCCATCTCCAAAATTATTGGGTCATCCTCGTCACTGTTGTCTGCGTTCTTCGGAGATTGCTCCCCGTCAGCAGAGCTATCCCAGGTAATCACGCGAAGAGTTCCCGTCATTATTGGAGAAACTCACGGAGTTACGTTAGTCGTGGTTCGAAGAGTCAGTCTCATAGGTACAACATAGGGTTTTCCTCTTGTGTTTCGGAGGACAATCGATCGCCCCTCGAAGTCCAGATTGGCTCGCAAGGCCACCAGGGCGGGAAGGCCAAAAAGGACGGCGTAAGTATTTACGTCCAAAACTACGACATCTCCCAAAGCATGTACTTTCCCTAATCGAAAAGCAACATTGGTCATCCGTCCTACCGTTTTAATCTTCTCTTCATCTGCTGAAACGAGCTGTTCTTTTTTCGTAAGCATGATTAGATCGTTCTTTCTTCCTGCCCTTTCATCTACCCGTAATGAGATAGCTAGGACAGCGGCCCCGTAATCAATAATAGCATTGTACCGAATTCCCCATACCTCGATATCACATTCCGCGGATTTCCATGGGATTGGTTTAATCCGTAGGAAATTATCATCTTTTTGGATTAATCCTAGCCGTATCGGGTCTGAAGTACCTGCTGCATTTTCATCTGGCATGGGATTTTTTGCTTTTGTGCTCGCTGTTCGGGCAAGGGCGAATCGTTTCTGATTCGCCTTGCAATGTTGCAACATCCGTTCGTTGGCTTGTTCCGATATCGAAAGTAGATGGCCGATCGGAAGAGGGATTCGATGATCCAAGGCTCGAATGATGCTGAGAACATCGATTTCCCCCGTGACGAAGGTGGGTCCTCCCGACTCCATTTCCCCTGGAGAAGGTCGCCACTTCGTTACTTCTCTTTGTTTTGGCGCCAGTCTAATGGTTCCAATCATCCCAAGCCCCGGGTAACCTAGCGTTACATACTGATCCAACGGGATTAGTTCAGCAGCTTCCTCCATCGTAGCTAATGTGCTTCCGCCTCCTTCCATTTCTTCCATCAGCGCCCCTACTCGTCCTGGCCCGTTAGTGATCGGTGCGGCTGCTACAGGTGCAGCCCCGACTCGTGGATGTGGAGGTCGATGAGGGCAATCCTGGGCTATGTGTCATGGTTGATGACACATGTTACAGACATTCAGATTGCCAGGGATCCCTGCGGGAGGCGGTGCCGGAGGCAATCCATGTTGAATCGGGGCGACACGCACCGCTATTGGTCGCATCGACCTCATCATTGCCTCTATTCGAGCATTGTGTTCCCGCTGTTCCTTTTTGCTTTCCTGGATCAGAGTGACCAGTGTCTTGGTGAGTTCCAATAAGGCGGAAGACTCATTTGGTCGTGGGGGACTTTCGATCGTGGGCGGGGGTGCTGTCATTACAGGAACGGGCATGCTGGTAATCACATTCAGGACCGATTGTTTGGGACTAATCTGTTTCAGATAGGTGACTGGGCCCGACACAAACCCCATGTTTTCAAATTTGTTCTGTAATGCAGCCAACTCAGTTTTAGCTTTCGCTAGTTCGGACGAGTCTCCTTCCCTAGGATAGCCTTCCCCTTCTAGGAAACTCGCAACGAACTTTCGTTCCATTTCCTCTGCGGCTACCATGATCTGTTGCAGCGTGTGGTTGATGGGGGAGAACTGTTTTCGCAGTTTCGCCCTCATCGTTCGGCTGCGAAGTCCATCGATGAACAAGTCTCTGCCTACCTGTTCGCCTCGTTCCGTTTTCACAAACATCCGATAGAATCGATTCCGATACTCAATGACAAAAGCGAGGGGTTTTTGAACTCGATCTTTGATCATAAAAAGAGCCTGTTCCGGGTGGATGTAATCGAATCGATTCAAGAAATCTCGCTCGAATGTTCGGAGATCGACCCACACATAGGTACTAAACCAGTGATGGGCATCTCCTCCCAATCGTGCAGGGATATTTACCTGCGCCTCGTTGTCATCATATTGTTGAGCTCGGAGTGTGGCCAACCATGCTCTAGTGAGATGATGTGCAGGGTCAAATAGATAAAGATCGGGTCGCGTCATGGGAGCCTGGGCTCGTGGTACGGGTTGATTAGGATTCTGTTGTGGATTCGGGTTCTGTTGGGGGTTCTGTTGATTAGCATTCATGTTGACCGCCCGTTGGCCCGCAGACCGACTTCTGGTGACGACGAGGTCGCGGCGACACGCGTTCCGGGGTCGAGGTCATCTCCTGTTAGCCAAATCCTGCCACGTGTCGGGCTCCGATACCAACCTCACGCCCACCGGGACTTCCTGATCGGAGTGGGATGTGGGCCTGGAAATGCGAAAAGGGGTGTGCCAAGGATTTTTGGGGAAAATGGGGGTGGAGTCCCAGGTCGGAATTGGGATCTCCTGTGGCAAGGATCCAGGGGCATAGATGCAATAGGACTAAGGGACGGGTTGCATCTGGTCTGATGGCGGTCGATGTCGTGCAGCATAAGGCAGATGGCCTGCGTGGTGCATCAAGGGCTGTTCGATTC